TAAGTGCACCTCACTAAGATGTATACACGCTCCAAATTTCAGATCATTCCGATTTAGTAAAAAAAATAAGAAAAATAAAACAACTACCGAATAATCGTGACCGTACGATGAACTTTAGACGGTGATAAGAATATGAGAAGACTTACTCTATATATATATATATATATAGACGTTTTTTTAACACATTGGTTTAGGGCTAGCATCACACAGCTCACTTTTTTATTAGAAACCTTCTTTCAAGTTCTTAAGCCTGAAGAAGGGCTCATAACGTTCCACCCTCCATTCCCAAAATATTAACATGCGAAAAAAAAGAAAAAGAAAAAAAAGAAGCGTACAAAGGAAGTGGTATCATCTTTATTGCTCTTTCACCTGCGGTTGCTTGCAAAACAAAACTCAACCTTATAAACTGCTTTTGTCAATCTCACGTAACCATGCGCACATACATCCTTACGTTAAGAATGTCGTACAATAACGTTCTTTTTCTTTAATAAAAAGTTGACGTGTACCCATATGCCGTATAAGAAGCCTTTAAAATTTTAAAAAAAAGTTTACATAAGAGCAAAGCCCTAAACAATCCATTTACGGCTCACCTCAAAGAGATTGTTTCAATACCCAAGAATCCTCAAATTGATTATCTTGATCTCAAGATGTATAGACATGAGAAAATATAGATTTCAATAGTGTATCTTGTAATGTATTTTTAGAGTGTTAATTTTCAAGATTTTCAAGTGCTCATAGATGTATTCGATCTACACTATTTTTTTAAGCTTTAAATTTTATAATTAGAGAAGAAAATGAATTCTCACACATCACCAAGATTTCTAGTATTGAAACAATATTCTTTTGATATTATTTGAAAGTGTACCTTACTTTGATTGTTTAAAGCCTCGGCCTCATACAAACCACAACCCTCTGGCCAGCAGGGGTGGATGCACTCTCACGCCAAGAATATCCTTATGAAGCTTGAGAATGGTTGCTCTCTCCCAATGTTAGAAACCACGAACCGAGAATGGAAGCCGGCTTGATTAACCCTGAACCGATTTGGGTAAGTTGCCCTAAACGGGTAGGTCCTTTGCGGGCAAAAAGGGTTAAAAAAATTTAATTTTTTTTCAAAAAAATCCCCCAAAAATGAAATGTATGATTAAAAAAATATATCCAAATAAAATTAAAAAAGTATTGAAAAAATCAATTTTAAAAAAGTAAATTTATGCTTAAGGGTGTTTTGAAAATAATCTAAAAAAATGAAAAATATAAAAACAAATATTTATAGCCAAAATACTTCCCAATATAAATTTTTTTTTTTTTTTATATAAGTATGAGGGTCTAAACAATCAAAATAGGGCGCACCTTGAAAATTTCAATAGAAAGGGTTTTTGATACCCAAATATCCTCAAATTGATCATCTTGATGTCAAGATGCATGACATGACAAAAAGACTGGACTTCAAGTTTTGGAAATAATACATCTTATAATGCATTTTTAGGCCATCAAGTTTCAAGATTTTCAAGTTTTTGTGGATCTGCTTAATCTACTCAAATTTTAAAGCTTTAAATTTTATAATTATCGATGAAAATATATTTTAAGTCTATCACAAGAATTTCATCATTAAAACCACATTTCTCGATACTATTTGAAGGTGCACTTTATTTTGATTGTTTAGAGCTTCGGCCTCATACAACTACACCCATATAAAAAACCTATTACAAACAATTTTTTTCTTTTTTCTTTTTATAATTTTTTATTTTATTTTTTGAAAGTTAAGGTGGTCTAGCCGGTTGACCACCGTGACCGGCCAAAACAGGGCAAGGCTTGTAGCGAGTTCCGAGTAACCTGGCCAGGTCTGAGTCAACCCAGCCGGACAAACATGGCTCTCTCCTACTCTCTTTCTCCCTCTTCATAATAGTTTCTCTCTCCTACTCTCTTTCTCCCTCTTCATAATAGTTTCTCTCTCCTACTCTCTTTCTCCCTCTTCATAATAGTTTCTCTCTCCTACTCTCACTCTCTCAAAAGTAATAAAACATCCTCATGAAGTTCCTCTTTTTGTTTTTGTGAAAGTTAACTAATTATGAAGTTCCTCTTTTTCTTCCTTCACTCACTCCTTGCTCATACATTTGTAGTTCACATCAAGTATTTCTCTTCAGTTACTCTTCTCCTGTTCAATATAAAATCCTGATTTGGGGTGTCTCCATATTTCTTCATTTTACATTCTCTCCTTTTATTCACCCTCTATGTCTCTTGTACTCACTCTGTCTCTGCTCTACTAGTTGAAATTTACATCTTTTTCTGTATATTTCTTCTCCCTCTCCATTGTTTTTCTTTGGCCACAACTGTGCCACTTTCTCTTCATAATTTCCATGGATTCCTCACGCATACGCTATCCCTCTTCTCAACAATCCCCACGAAGAACCAGACTCCTATGTTCCTTCTTCATCTGCCTCTCTCTATTGATCCTAACCATATTGATACTGGTGATTCTTGGGTTCACTGTTTTCAAACCCAAGAAGATAACTACCACTGTAAACTCCATTAAATTAGCAGACGTCAATTTATCGACCGGCGGCGTAAATGTGAGCATTGATGTCAGTCTTACTCTGAATAACCCCAATAAGGTTAGCTTCAAGCATGGAAACATCACAACAGAGTTAAAACACCGCGATGTGTTCCTCGGTGAGGCCATAGTACCAGCCGGAGAGATAGTTTCCGGCAAGACACAGGAGATTACTGTAACACTAACCATATTTGCCCAAAGCCTGGTTACCGATACTTATATTCCATCAGATTTGCTTAATGGGACATTGCCTTTGAGCACAATCACAACAGTTTCAGGGAGGGTCGTTGTTGTGAAGTTGTTCAAGCATCACTTGGTTTCTAAAGTTTTATGTGATATTTGGATTGGGATTAAGGATCGGAAGGTCGAAAACTCAAATTGTAATTACAAGAATAAGCTTTGATTAGTTATGGGCTTTTCCTTTTTTCTTTTTTTAATTGAATTGTTTATGTACAGTAAGTCTGGTTAATTTCTTTCTTTTTTTTTTTTGGGGGCAGAAAGAATTCGTGTGTGGGTCCAAGCGTGAAGTTTCTGATACCAATTGTGACATATGAATGTTGCTTATGTAAGGATTTTATAGATGAGAATAAATAAAGATATCATCTTAGTTTTCAAACTTTTCTTGAAATAAAATTTCGGCATAGTCTCTCTTTACAGAAATCAAATCAACTTGCTTTGATGACCGATTCCATATGTTAATCTAGTTGGAACAAAGTTTTGAATCGAGATGTATGAGGGAAACATCTATATGCACCTTAATCGGGTTTCTATGAGTTCTAGATGTTGGATTTTGCTATCCAAAATCACCCACATAAAGAAATCACATTTCAAGACTTAGCTTGTCAGAGAATTTGAGATGAAAGATTTAGGTTTAGCAAAGAAAATCTGGGGTATGGAGATTCGTAGAGATCGAAAGATGGATAAATTGTGGTTATCTCAAAAGGAATACATTGATAAGGTCTTCGCTAGATTCGGAATGGAAAATTCAAAGCCCGTGGGTACTCCTCTTGTTGCATATTTCATACTATCGGCAACATTATCTCCAAGTTCAAATGTTAAAAAAGAATACATGTCACATGTTCCTTATGCAAGTGCAGTTGGAAGCCTTATGCATGCAATAGTTTGCACTCAACCACATATTTCTTATGAGATATTTATTATGTTGTTAGTGTTGTTCGCAACTATATGGCTAATCCAGGAAAGGAGCTTTGGCATGCAGTAAAATGGATTCATTGCTATCTAAGGGATACATTAGATGTAGGTCTGGTGTTTGATAAAGATAAAGAGCTTGTTGACAAGGATATTGGTTATATTGATGCTGACTTTACAGGTGATTTGGACTGTAGGAGATTTACTACAGGTTATGTATTTACACTTGCAGGAACTCCGATCAGTTGGAAGTTGATGCTACAAACTATGGTTGCCTAGTTGACGACTGAAGCAGAATACATGGTTGTTACTGAGGCAGTGAAAGAAGCTATTTGGCTTAAACGGCTTGTAAGCGATTTGGGCTTACGACAAGATGGGATTATTATTTATTTGATAGTTTAGAGGGCTTGTAAGCGATTTGGGCTTACGCCAAGATGAGATTATTATTTATTTGATAGTCAGAGTGCAATACATTTGGCGAAGAACTAAGTATATCATGCAAGGACGAAGCATATTGATGTTAGATATCATTTTATCCGTGAGATCATAGCTGAAAGTGATATCTTGTTACTGAAAATTGACACCAAGAAGAATGCTGCAGATATGTTGACAAAGCTTATTCCATTACAGAAGTTCAAGCTATGATTGGACTTGACTAATGTACTGCCACAATAAGCGCTTACAAGGGCGCGTGTGGAGAAGGCAATCGATGGAAATCTCTTTTCGAAATTCAAGCTAAGGTGGAGATTTGTTGATATTTATCTTGAATCCTTGAATCCCTAATTGTAAAGGATTGTTTTCCTTTAATTTAGCTTTTTTATTTATTTAGATAGAACCTATTATTTAGATATAAGTTTATGGATGAGTCCTACTTAGATTAAAATGGACTTCGGGGCTACAAGTAGATAGAGAGAAAGTTAAGTTCCCACCTTATTCGGAAAAGAAGAGGCCATCACGTACCATCAATGAGGGGTTTACTTTTTCTATATATTGGGTTATTTAGAGTGAGAAAAAGATCCAGAAAAATAGAGGAAAACTTTTGGGGGTTTTTCTAAAGACAAAAAATTATATAGAATAAGGCTTTGTGGGAGATTGAGTCTTCTAGTTCTCTCAAATAAGTTGTCTTGTAATTTTCTTTATTTGATTTAGTGAAAAACATCGATCGTCTTCACCCGTGGATGTAGTTACATCTGCAATGAACCACGTTAATCTTGATGTTCTTTTTCTATTATTTCTTTCTTGCTTTATTTTTGTTGCTTGTTGCTTGTTTTTGTCAATTATAATTTTTTTATACTTTATTTGCCAAAAAAAAAATCAACCTATCGGATTTAGAGTTTCTGCGCATAACAAGTGGTATCAAAGCCTGATTTGAGGTTTGAGGTATGGCAGTAAAGGTTTCGATTGCAAAGTTCGAGGTGCAAAAATTTGATGGCCAAAAAACTATTTTTCAGCAAGAATAATGAAGAAATTTATTTGCCAAAAGATGAAGAACTTATGAAGTTATCCAATGGATGTTGGTATATTGAGCAGATGATTTTGATATCAAAGTGGAGATTGTCGAATTTGATGCTATCCAAAATCACCCACATAAAGAAATCTCATACTATGTGGGATTAAAATTGATATTGATAAGTTTCCTAAAGGAAATAGAAATCCAAAAGGATTATGAGTTTTGGGTATATCTCTTGGTTTCTGAGATATATGTAATATCTATAGGAAGTTTTTTATTTAATATGGTTTCCTAACCTTATATATATGGAATGATAATGTAGAGAATTTGTGTACGCCTATTTGGGTTACCATATGGGAAATTTAGCTTCCTTTAGAGAGAAGGGGGCGAGGCCTCCTATGCATAAGATGCAAAGTTTCCAAGGTTTCCTTTTAGAGAGAAGAAAACTTCTTACGGAGAGAAACATTATGATGATACCTCTTGTAGACTCTCGAAGATTGAAAAACTTGTTTCTTACAAAGAGAGAGTTGTTCCCATAAAGATTTTGGGTTTTTCCCCTTTCAGTTAGAGAAAAAATCAGTTTATCGTTGCCCTCGCGTCTCTATCGGTGTTGTCGGTAATGGTTGCAGAAGTAAAGAGAATAAAGAGAGAGTGGTTTAAAATGGGTTTACTCGACTTGGTTTTTGTCTAGTTTAGAGAGATAACTCTATCTTCCAAAATCTTTGATGTAATTTTTATTGGTATAATGTATTGTAGTTTACCGTGTTAATGGATATAGCTCTTTTAGGGTGAACCATGTGAATTTATGTATTCTTGTGGTATGTGTTTCATGCTTTATTTTTTATACTTTATTTATAAAAAATCAACCCTTTGGGTTTAGAGCTTCCACGCACAAGACTAGACACCAACTTGATCATGGCGATAAAATCTACTCGTCAACTGGTTTCTACGAAATCCAAATATCAAAGATATGGACATAACAAAGTAAACAATGCTGAAAACTTGATCTATAAAGGAAATAGAATCACAAGTTTTTTTTTTTTGTCTTTCTTTGAAGTTTTGAACCTTCAGATTCAGTGAAAACACCGAGATGCAATTAATGCACACGTGCCCACTCCCATGATCAACTAATTTGGTAGAGTCACCTTTAGAGTTCTTGATTTAAGCATTAAAAAATTTCACCCATCATCTTCCAATTAGTAATTGTATTGATATACATCTATTAGAATATAGATCGTGATGACACGAACATGGATCTCTCATTATACACCATTTATGAACTTCTATTTTAGATAGTTGTACGAATGTCAATGGTTTTAGGGGTTTAAAAAACGGATCGATGACCCGGATCGGGTTTCCAAAAAACCGATTTGGATCGGCGAATCGACATTCGGATCGGGAATCTGGTGAATCGGTCAGAATAAAGCTTCAAAAAAATCCAAAAAAATTATTAAAGTTTATTATAAATATTATTTTTTAGGAATTC